TAAATAACGACATGGTTGACCGCAGGCAGTAACGCAGTAGCGCCAGTAGCAGTAGCAGTAGTAGGATGCTTGTGACAACGTGTCTTGCTCCACATCCTTGTGCAGCATGTTGTACAAAGAGCAAAACATGCTGTAAATACCATTGTTTTGGGCATGATCGCCAAAGGCAGTGACATGAACATTAACCTGACCATCTTCATCATCATCTTCATAACCATCATCTTTGCTATCTTCAACATCGTCGTTAACCTGATCATCTTCATCATCATCCTCATAATCATCATCCTTATCATCATCCTCATACTCCGCATCATCATCAACATAAGCCCAAGCAATTAGTTCGTTTGAAGTTGGCTTAACTACAACTTCTAAAAACTACTAAACCAAGCATTTTACACACTTGACCACTGAAAACTACCAGGCGCCAGGAGGCGCGGAACCCTAGTAGTAGTAGTAGTAGTAGTAGTAGTAGTAGTAGTAGTAGTAGTAGTAGTAGTAATAGTAGTAGTAGTAGTAGTAGTAGTAGTAGTAGTAGTAGTCGTAGTAGTAGTAGTAGTAGTAGTAGTAGTAGTAGTAGTAGTAAGTAGTAAGTAGTAAGTAGTAAGTAGTAAGTAGTAAGTAGTAAGTAGTAAGTAGTAAGTAGTAAGTAGTAAGTAGTAAGTAGTAAGTAGCAAGTAGCAAGTAGTAAGTAGTAAGTAGTAAGTAGTAAGTAGTAAGTAGTAAGTAGTTTGTAGTAAGGGGTAAGTAGTAAGTAGTAAGTAGTAAGTAGTAAGTAGTAAGTAGTAAGTAGTAAGTAGTAGTAGTAGTAGTAGTAGTAGTAGTAGTAGTAGTAGTAGTAGTAGTAGTAGTAGTAGTAGTAGTAGTAGTAGTAGCAGTAGTAGTAGTAGTAGTAGTAGTAGTAGTAGCCAGCGGCGTGTTTACCGTACCCGTGAAATCGGCTACTGGGGACTGGGGGGGGGGGGATAATAACGACATGGTTGACCGTAAGCAGTAACGGGGGGGGGGAGGGGGGCTAATAACGACATGGTTGACCGTAAGCAGTAACACAGTAGCGCCGGTAGCAGTAGCAGTGGTAGGATGCTTGTAACAACGTGTCTTGCTCCACATTCTTGTGCAGCATGTACAAAAAGCCAAACATGCTGTAAATACCAGTGTTTTGGGCATGACCGCCAAAGGCAATCACATGAACATTAACCTGACCATCTTCAGCATAACCATCATCTTCGCCATCTTCAACATCATCGTTAACTGCATCACCGGCCTTATGTTGATGATGACGACGATTATGAGGATGATGATAGGGATGATGACTATGAGGATGATGATGAAGATGATCAGGTAAACGATGATGCTAAGCATGGCGAGGATGAAGATGATGATGAAGATGGTCAGGTTGATGTTCATGTCACTGCCTTTGGCGATCATGCCCAAAACGCTGGTATTTACAGCATTTTGGGCTCTTGGTACAACATGCTGCACAAGGATGTGGAGCAAGACACGTTGTCACAACACACGCGCGTAAACCTTTTCGAGCAACGCCTCCCACACAAAACGCAAAACAGCCTTGTCATTTGCGCACTTCCAAAATACACTGAAATAAGCACGCCACCACAGCGGCAGCTGCGTTTTTCAATATTTAGGGGTACGGTAAACACGGTGGCGGGTAGTAGTAGTAGTAGTAGTAGTAGTAGTAGTAGTAGTAGTAAGTATAAGTAGCAGTAGTAGTAGTAGTAGTAGTAGTAGTAGTCGTAGTAGTCGTAGTAGTCGTAGTCGTAGTAGTAGTAGTAGTAGTAGTAGTAGTAGTAGTAGTAGTAGTAGTAGTAGTAGTAGTAGTAGTAGTACTAGTACTAGTACTAGTACTAGTACTAGTAGTAGGAGGGATGGTTCCCCCGGTGCGACGCCAAGACCTTTCATTTTTCGCCTTCGTGCTGTCAACGTAACTATGCAGTGTGTTACAGTGTTTTTCTTCGTTCCTGCAATTATGTGAAGCGTGTGGTCTTTTTGCATAGTTTTTGCTGTGTTCTTTTAACCTTTCTCTTCGTTTCTGCAGCCAAAGTGCTGGTATTTACATCATTCGGCTTTGAGATGTTCATGATTTTTTGCTGCTTTACGAGGTCTCGATTTTCGTGCCCAAAACCTTTCGATCAGAATGAAGGGTTTTTGCATCCAATGTTCGCGCTCTGCATGTGCATTTAATGTCTCATGCAATGGAAATTCTATAAACCACGTGGGTTCTTGCATGTTTTTGCTGTTTCTTGACCGTTGCTTTTCCTTGCTGTGCCCAAAAACGCTTGTATTTACAGCACTTTTTCTGTTTGGGAACAGAGCATCCATGTCAGAAACCATGGTCTACTGCGCTTTTGGATGAGAGCATCCATACCCCAAAATTAGAAACGTCCATGGTGTACTGAGTTTTCCTATGAGAGCATCTTGCTGCTTGTTGTATGTTGCTCTTCCTTGTTGTGCCTGAACATGCTGGTATTTGCAGCACTTTGCGTTTGGGAACCGAGCATCCACGCCAAAGGCCTAATGACGTCCATGGTCTACTGCGTTTTCGGACGAGAGCATCCATGCCAAATGCCTGATGACGTATGGTCTACTGCGTTTTCGGACGAGGGCATCCATGCCACAAGCCTAATGACGTCCATGGTCTACTGCGTTTTCGGATGAGAGCATCTATGCCAAAAACTAATCTGAACATGCTCCTCATGAACATGCTCCGCGAGTGGCGTCGCACCAGGTGAACCAAGCCTAGTAGTAGTCGTCGTTGTCTCGGTATTAGTAGCAGCAGTAGCAGCAGCATCGCTACTGCAGCTGCTGCTTCAGGAGTCGTCGTCGGCGGTGTGGGTGGGAGGAGCCCAGGATCACAAGCGGTAGTCCTCCGCAACAGCTTTATGCACAGTGTCAGGAACACTGACTTCGGAACCACAAATATCAGTAGGAATTGCAGGAATCAGAGTTCGCCATGTTAATGTTGTCCTTTGCTGCCTTTCAACAGGACAAACAGACCAAAATAGCTGCTCGGAAGCAAGAGCCTGTGCTGTGAGGCCTTCGACAGAAGCCTCCTCAACAAGGCATGCGCTGGAGGGTTTATCATCTGGGCTTGGGGACCCTACCCTTCTCCGCGAGCACGGAACCCCTTGAACCCAAAGCCCGCGAAACCTTGAAGTCCCAAACCCTGAAGCCTTGAAGTCAGACATGCCTCTCATCATCCGCTCTCAAACTTTGACAAAGCCGCGAGCCCGAACCCTAAGATAAGAGGAGTCCGCAATTGAAGCTCGTATTTAGCCAGGAACGGGGCCTTATCATCGGCCTCCTTCGGCATCCTTCGAAGCCCAGCCGTCGTAGTGGATCCTCTCCAAGACCTCGAGTTGGTAGAGGAGGTTCTCGAGGAGCTGAGGGGGGAACAGCGGAACGGGGGAGGGGGGGGGGGGGGGGGTGTAGACTTGGCAGGTGTAGAACATGTTTAAGCGCTTAGGCAGAGGACTTCAGTGATTGCTTTGCCGGCTTCAGGGTCGAGCTCTGTTGGTGCATAAATTCCAACATCTTGTTGTTTTCTGCATGTTGTTGTTGCTGCTGCCGCTGTTGTTGTGGTTGTTGTTGTTGTGGTGGTGGTGGTGGCGGTGGTGGTGGTTGTTGTTGTTGTGGTGGTGGTGGTTGTTGTTGTTGTCGTGGTTGTTGTCGTGGTTGTTGTTGTTGTTGTTGGTGGTGGTGGTTGTTGGTGGTGGTGTTGGTTGTTGCGGTTGCGGTTGCAGTGGCGGTTGCATCGGCAGTTGCAGTTGCGTTTGCGTTTGCATTCGCGGTTGCTATTCCTGAAATTCCGGTTGTGCTTCGGGTTGAGGTTTCGGTTGCGGTTGGGGTTGGGATTGACCAGTTGGGCTGGGTTGTATAGGGTTGCTGCTGCTGCTGCTGTTTGATGGCTAGAGTTCTGGATTTGGACTTCGCGTGTTGGCCCTGCGAACTTACGCATTCTCCTCAGAACTGCAACCCTGAACCCTAAACCCTGGTGTCCCTCTGTGCCAGGAGCCTGTCCAAGCCGCATCTAGTGACGGCCCAGTTCTCCAGGTATGCATCGACTGAGCATCTGCGGGGCCGAGCCCCTGAAGTCAACCCGAGATGCCAAAATGCCCCCAATCCGAAATCCCCAGCCCCTTGGACTTCTTTTTAAACTTCCCTCAGCCCCAGAAACCCAAAACCTGACTTTCCAAGCTCTAGTAAACAGGCGGCCCCCGAAGGACAACTGGGGGCCGCCAGTGGGCGTTTCCCTGCAAAGCAGGGGATATCAGTTCACGAAAGGTCCCCAAGGGCCTACCTAACCCTAACTCCCACTGATGAAGTCTTGTTGCGTCGACAGCCCGAGTCTGAGTCGTGAAGACGACTCTGAATGACTGAGCTTCAAAAAGACGAAGTCATTCCGAGGGAAGTGGGCCCTAAACCTTAGACCCCGAAACCGTAAACTCTAACCACTCAACCCTAAACCCATGAACCCGTAAAACCCAAACGGTGGATCACCTGGGGTTGTGCCCGGAGAAGCAGGCGAAGCTTGAGGGATTCTTGCAGGGTTTCGGGCTTCAAGATTTTTTTTAACATAGTTCCGTGTCGTCTCACGTCTCGAACCCCATAAGATAGTCATAGAAACACTAACAAGGTTCTCTTGATCAGGTTCCTACATTATCCGAAGATAGTCGGCACAGAGTTTCCCTTGGCGGCCCTTCTTTCAAAGAGGGTGTTGAAGCAAAATCGGCAACCTACAAAGCACTCCCCAGCCGCTTGGCCGCAGCGACTCGCGGGTTTCTGGGTTTCTGGCATCTACTATTCACAAATAACAATAAAAGTGTGCCTGAACCGAAGGGCTTGATTGAAGCGCGGCAAATCTTACGATAGATAGTGGCCACTGAATTGCTTTGGGGATCATGAGCCAGAACCTTTCAGTCTTACATTAGCGATGTGCGGCCATTTATTGGGGTTTTCATGTTTCAATTGTCCGCCAGTCTAAGGCCATGCAGCTTTCCTGGGCTGTGGCGTTTATGGGATGTTTGGCCGCCGCGCAGCACAGGTGTGTTGCGGATGACACTTGTGAAGGCTCAGACAGTGCCTCGTTTGCGTTTGCTTTTCATGCTGGCATGGTGGAGACGTTGTGTTTGCAGTCGGACTATTTCGGGTTCGGCATGAGAAAGCGGGCTTGGGTGATATCGGTATACTACATGGTCATGGTTGGGGAAGCGTAACGCAGAGCTTCCACAGGTTGCTGTCCCTCATTCTTATCTTAAGGGAAAAGGTTGCTGCCCCTTGGCCAAGGCACTTTCTTCCAGCACAAGTTTCGACGTGTTGCGACAGAAGATGCGCATAAAACAATGCTTCAAGTGATCGAAGACGAATTTGCAAGTTTGGATGCCCGTCTGCAGTTCAGCTTCGATGCCGATATCCGATAGCCCCGACCCACATCTTAGGTTTTTTCGTGAGCCAAGGATCTCAAAGGTCATGCAAGAGCACACTCTGGTTGTTCTATCCTCTTTTTTGCATCTCAGAATTTCAGGAAGTGGAAACTTCAGTGAATTCAGCTTGGCATCAGGTGGAGCCTTGAGTGGAATTCAGCGTTGCACAACCGAGAACCCCTCATAGGATTTCATAGGCATGAATGCTCAAAGGACCGCAGTATGTGACGGTATGTGAGTGGCTGAATATGAAGAAAGCTTTAAGCCTCCGGTACCTGATGTGCGTTGATCTTTGGTTTCCGTCAGTTTGGGCATGGGCTCGCAGCCAACCTTGATGCTAATGCGGATCCCGTTCAATGTGCTTCGAGGACGGTGCTTCTGGGACGTTGGCGGGCGCAACTGCTTCGCAAGAAGAGTTCAAGCAGGCTCCAGCCGTGATGCGCTCTTGGGAAGCTTGCGCAAAGGCGGGGCGTTGGGCTTTGATTTCTCTCTGATATGCATGGAGGAAAGCATGAAAGGCTAATCAGCTGTCGGTTTGGGGTTTAGGGTTTGGGGTTCACCTTCAACCCTAAACCCTAGACCTTATTCCGCATATGGTTCGGTGCTCTGAAGCAAATCAGAAACGTGCGGTCATCTTATTGGGTTGTGACTTGTGAGGAAGGGCTTGAATAGCAGATGCCTTTAACTTTAAACCCTAAATCCTAAACACTAATCCTGCGCGCATCCTAAGCCCGCCGCCCGCCACCCAACAAAGATTGAGACACAAAAACACATAATGCCTTAGCACCTTAATATCGTAAAACATTAAAGACTTAAAGAGATTAACCAACAACTCAAGCCCCAAAACCCCAAATCCGAACAGAATCAAAGCACAACTCAGTGTATCTAGGGGTTTAGTGCATTTTGTCATCGGGCAATGAGGCCGACTACTCCTCCTTCAGCGGTCTGGATGACCCAAAGATCAAGCAGCTGCAGCGCGATGTGGGGCTGAACGAACTTTGTGGAGCGGGGGCCGACGCATGCAGTGCTTTCAATGCCGGCCTCAAGGCCCACCAACCTTAAACCCCAAAACCTAAGCTTCCAACTCCATATGTAGATTCCATCAAGCTTGTGTTGCCGGAACCTGCCAAACACAAGGGGCCCATCAGCAATTTTCAAGCGAAACTTTGAGCGAGAGAGAAAGAGAGAGAGAGAGAGAGAGACACAGAGATAGAGATAGTTAGTTAGATAGAGGGAGAGAGAGCATAAGCATATATATATATATATGTATATACATATATATATATATATATATCCACACATAGGTATATGCATATACATAAACACACCCACAATATTATCATATATATATATATATATGTATACATAGATACCGACATAATTATGCATATATGTACACGTACGTACATATGTGTGTATGTATGTATGTATTCATGTATGTATGTATGTATGTATGTATGTATGTATGTATGTATGTATGTATGTATGTATGTATGTGTGTGTATATATATATATATATATATTTACATGCGTGTACTCTATGTAGTACATAAAAAGTGTATGTACTTATGTATATACACACGCTGTATATGAAGTATATCTGTTTATACACATATATATATATATATATAGATAGTACATACATGTCGTTCGTTCTGGGTAGGCAGTGGCCGGAGAACGTGCCTCTCGCATCAAACTCAGCGGTGAAACGATGAGTATATATGTATATATATATATATGCACATTGTTTAATTGCTTGTTAATTTGTCCAATATTTCTATGCATACATCCACGAAAAACGGAATCTTCAGCTAAGCTGTAAGGCAATGTTCCGCATCCGCAACGAAGTTCCGGCTTCGGCCCGATTTCAGAACTTCACCCTGGTCAACTGGCCCTTGGTCTGAGACCTCAGATGTGTTTTTGTTTAGGTTTTAGGGCTTTTAGCGTGAAGGTTTAGGGTTTTAGACTAATAGGGTTTAGGGTTTTAGTTCTTCCAATGTTCGTGTTCAATGTTCGGATCTAGCTAAGCCTCGACCCCCAACTCCGAACTGAACGCACGGAACCTGATCGAAGCATCCAAACGTGCATTCCCCGCAATGCGTCCCTGAACTGCCAACTCCAACCTAGAACTTTCCACCGCTCTACGCATGTTTTTTTCGCAGCCAAAGCGAGCATTCCGATCAGCTCAGCACAGGATTCAGTCCCGAGACAAGCAGATTTGGAGCAGAGACCCGCCGCGATGCTCGCGCTAAGAGACTTAGGAACGCTTGCGAACGCTTGCGATCTCTTGTGGCAGCTTGAGACCGCTGAGACAACTAACTCTGATCAAGTCCCTAGCCCCCAGGGCATCCCCCACCACCCCAACCTTCAAACGAGAACTCTTCGCTACACAGCTGGGAAAAGATTTCAGGTACGAGAATGAGAACGGTTTTCCTTCCTGGGGCTCCGACCCCAACGGCAAGAGGGTTTCCGTGGACACTGACGTCATGCCGCCCGTGGGAGCCGTGCACGATCCGCACGCAGCTGACGGCTATGCATTCTGTGAGATCACATACACAGTCTTGAGGCAGACGGCTTCTCAGTTCTACAACAGTTGCGGTCCTACCTCTGTGTTGGCTGCGCTCCTCGTGCGCTCACCTGTTTTGTCCTTCAAGAAGGCTTTGCAGCTTTATTACACAGGCTCTTTGCCTGAGATGCACAGCTCACCGTGCCCTTACATCTTTACCCAGCAGCCCGGGCTTGTGCCTTTTGAGGAAGACCAACCAGGTGCAAATGGACTCCAGGGAGGCGATTTGTTTTGGTGTCCTGATAGCGATCTTAACTCACACCAGGACGCTTGGCTCCAGTTTGGCTCCTTCCGGCAAGTTCAGGGGCTTGAGGTAAGGTCGTTCTCAAGAAGCCTTTCAACCTACTACAGGTAGCTGCATGTAGCTGGGTTCTGAGACTTTGTCAGGGCCTTCGATTAGAGAGCTTCATCGAGGTTGGTTCGGCCAGTTTGGGTTTATTGGCGCGAACCTCCTTGTGTAAAGCCAGAGGATGAAGGTGTTGACAAGTGACCAGGCGAAAATGGAGGCAAAAGTCGAATCTATCAGGTTGTGCTGCAGCTTTGCGAGTGACAGTTCTTCATCGGTGTTGCCCAGTCAATTTCCAAGAGTGTTGGTCAAAAGGCACATCTGAGAAAGTGTTGTTGTTGTTGGTACAGACAAAAACAGCAGTCCGTAGTTGTTGTTAACAAGAAGCAATTGGGAATGCTTCCGGCCACCGCATAGGGTGCCTGTAGAGTTTTGGGATTGCAAGCCATGGTTTACACGACAACTGCCCCATCATAGAAATGCAGTGTAGGCAATTTTGACCCTCCCCCCCGCCCACATTACACCACGTTTCCACCAAAGGTATGGGAAACTACGAAATCCAGAAGGGGTTCTCATGGGTTTTGAAAGGGCTTGTTTGGGATTTTGAAGGCTTTGCATGAGATATCGAACGGTTCAAGCAGGATTTGAGGGCAGATTAACGGGTTTTATGTGATGTTAAAGGGCTTGATCCACGTCTGCTGCTTTGACTTTGGTCCAAGGCTCTCAGATCCGCGTCTGATGCTGTGGACATACCCACACAAAATCTTGGCAAAACCACACAAAATCCATGGACATACATACAAAATCCACACCCAACACCTTGCAAATACACACAAAATCAACGGAAATATGTAACACGTCTCTGAAATACCTACAAATCCACACAAATACACACAAAACTCCTTGCAAATACACGCAGACTCCTTGCACATAGACACCAAATCCTTGCAAATACGCATCAAATCCTTGCAAATACACAAAATCCATGGACACACGCTGCAAAGATTGAAAAATCCTTTGCAAAGCATTCAAACCCTGTACACCATAGGCACTGTGTTGTTGTTGTTGTTGTTGTTGTTGTTGTTGTTGTTGTTGTTGTTGTTGTTGTTGTTGTTGTTGTTGTTGTTGTTGTTGTCGTTGTTGCTGTTGTTGTTGGTACAGACAAAAACAACAGCCCGTGCTTGTTGTTAATTAGAAGCAATTGGGAATGCTTCCGGCGACCGCATAGGATGCCTGTAGAGTTTTGGGAAGTGCAAGCCATGGTTTACACAGCAACTGCCCCATGATAGAAATGCGGTGTAGGCTAGGTGGTTGTTGTAAAAGGTGGGGGGTCAAAACAACAGACGGGGCTCAGGCAAAAACTGGAGCCCCGTCTATTGTTTTGACCCCCCGCCCTTTACAACAACCGCCCACATTACACCACATTTCCACCACAGGTATAGGAATCTGCGATATCCAGAAGGGGGTCCTGATAAGTGTTGGAAGGGCTTGTCTGGAATTTTGAGGGGTTTGCATTGGACACCCGTACACTCAAAACTATAGTTACCGGTTACTATACAGTAGTGTGTACAGGCCTCGCAAATGCATAATCTGCACAGCGGCGAACTCAAATACACACCAAATCCATTGAAAATACACCAAAATCATTGAAATACACCCAAATCCACTGAAATACACACGAAATCCACTGAACTACAAACGAAATCCATTGAACATACACATCAAACAGTATACGTCACAGGCATCCGCAGGCACTGTGTTGTTGTTGTTGTTGTTGTTGTTGTTGTTGTTGTTGTTGTTGTTGTTGTTGTTGTTGTTGTTGTTGTTGTTGTTGTTGTTGTTGGGGGGGGGTAAAACAACATGACGGGGCTCCTGTTTTTGTCTCTACCTAATGTACAGACAAAAAGCAGATTTATGGGTTGACGGGGCTGCAGTTTTTGTTTGTACCTTGTTGTTGTTGTTGTTGTTGTTGCTGTTGTTGTTGTTGTTGTTGTTGTTGTTGTTGTTGTTGTTGTTGTTGTTGTTGTTGTTAAAACAACATGACGGGGCTCCTGTTTTTGTTTCTACCTAATGTAGAGACAAAAAGCAGATGTGTGGGTTGACGGGCTGCAGTTTTTGCTTGTACCTTGTTGTTGTTGTGGTTGTTGTTGCTGTCTCTGCCTAATGTTCAGACATGAAATAGATATATGGGTTGACGGGGCTGCAATTTGTACATTGTTGTTGTTGTTGTTCATGCTGGCTTGCGCTGCCCGAATTGCCAGTGTTTCTTGTTGAATACTTTGTACAAGTAGCAGCTGTGGCACGCTGGCAACCTAAAGTGCTAGTTCTGCTTATACACATCCGAGCAATCGGAGCCAATCCAAGCAGGCAGAACTAGCAAGGTGGATCTATGGCTTTGGACTGCCGTGTCTCTGAAGGACAGAAGTTCCGCCAGCCAGAATTCCAGCTCTGCCACAGCTCTTGCCTTTTCCTTTGTAAGAAGCCTCCAAGGTATCCAAAACGAGGCCGCAATGTCAGTCAATTGGCCTTCAGCGCATGTGGGTGGTTGGAATGCTGGCGGCATATGAGCATAAGGCACCTTGCGTGTTGCAACAAGACACAGGTCGTCTTTGTTCAGAGACCGTGATGTTGCCTTAAAGCGTTCTAGCAAAATTGCTGTACAATTTCTGTGTATCCCGGACCCAAGGTGCATATATGTGCAGATTTCCACTAGGGCAGCCGACCAATGTAACCTTGCAGCTGCTTGCAGGAGTACTTACCTATGGGTGCTCCCATTGGGTACTTTCTAGGATGCACCCTCTCGTCTTCCTGCAGGTTCAAGTGGAGCGCACCGGTGGCGACAAGTGCACGGAATGGATGACATCGACGTATCCAGGACCAGTCCTTGTTTGAGCGGTTGAGTGCAGCAAAAAACACAGGAGTCTGTTTTTCTTTTTTTCTGTTCATAGCCGACTTGAAGATTCAGGGCTAGTTCTGAGTAGGGCCACTAAGTAGGAGAATGGCTACTATATCGTCTTACTGCATCTTACCAACAGCGCTTACCCAACAAAAACGGAAGCCTCGTATTTATGCCTGCCCAAGAATCTCCGAGGAGAAAGTCCGCAAGTTGCCTTGACGAGGTGCCATTGGAACGCAGGGCCTTAACCATGCTCGATGTACACTCCACGTCACTCCACCATGACGACCAAGTCTCACCAACTCCACCATGTCCTAAGGGTTCCCAGACGCAAAGCCAGCAAAGCCAGGAACCACGCCTTCCGCACTGCCCCGTCGGCCGTGGTGTGGGTGTGCGGGCAGGTCCGCGTCATTCCGCATCGAGTTTGGCGATGATGGTGTTAGCTTTCTGAGGTGCACTTGGAGGTCCAGAGTCATCACCAAGTTATATTGCAACCGTACTTGTCGCTACAAGGTATATAGCGTAAGTAACCACCTCTTTAGGACGTTGTACTCGAGATATACGTTGCGTCTTGCGGGTGCTCTTTCATTCTGACATGCTTGGATAGCTGCTCTGCAGAGTACCGTATTTCGGGTGCTGAGTTCTTTGACGGTAACGGCTCAAGAACCGTCCAGTTCTTTTGTTTTCATGCCGACCTCCGACTAGTCCAGGCCCACGGAATGGAGCAAAATCCAGCACAGTTCGGACATGCAAGCATGGAGAAGGAATAGTGGTGATATATGGTGATGCTTATGGTTCCCTTAGTTGCGCTTCGTCTTATGACTCCACGATCTGCAAATGCAGCGCATTGTTTGCCTCGGCCCGGCCTTCGGGGGGGACCCTTGCTTAAGGGGAAGGGCCGGTGTGAGTCAGTTCACTTATGGCCGGGGGTGTTTCGCCTGGGAGGGGGGGGCGAGCAAACCATTCATTTAAGGTGGGGGGGACTTCGCTTCCAGGATAGGGTTATGCTGCTGACGACAGGGGAAAGGGGGTGTTGTGTTTAAGGTGTGGGGGGGGGGGGGGGGAATTCTGCTCTAACTACTTGTAACACCCAAATGACCCTGCATAGCACGGTCAGATACATATTGCACTTTGGGTTCCAGGCTCTGAGGCATCAGTAACGAGAGTACAAATACATGAACGTGCACAATGTTTTTGTATCTATTTCTCTATACACTACAGGCAGATGCATATGTATATATATATATATATACATAGAGCGATAATGACAGAGGTGTAGATTTATCTTTCTTTACTCGGGAGCAGGTATTTTTGTGATTCGGGTTGGGTTTGCACTCCTCCCTAAACACTGGTGTGTTACGGATTATTAACACTTGTTGGTTTAGGGCAAGTTTAGGGTTTAGCTTTTTGCAGATTCTTAGTTCGACTGACCATCCAGATCGTTGCTTGAGAGTAGCGAGAGTGGCGCAACGCGGCTGCAGAACTAACGGTGTAGTTCGAGCTGTGGAAATTTGTGGTTTCAGTTCAAGAGACGCGGGTTCACACCAGAATCCGAAGTCGAACTATACTGCTATGCTATTTGCCTGTTGCTGGCAGATTCGCATGTCTTGCAGATTGAAAAATGTTGCAGGTTGTGGGAGGCCAGGAAGATGCCTGCTATTATGCTTCGAACTTTGTGGAAGATTGTGCTCCGTCTCACGTCAGCAATCAGACCTGGCAGATTTCAAAAAAACTATACCCTAAAACCCGAAACCCATAAACCTCTATACAACTAAACCCTGTGAGCTTAGTCCCGAAGCCTTAAACCCCTAAACCCCAACCCTAAACCGCAAACCAGGACCCTAAATCCCTAAACCCTTACAGCCTAAGCCCTTATCAGAGGCTGTTCAGGCCACTCCCTTCCGCTCCCGAGCTCAGCTTGCAAGTTTCAACACACTGTGTATGTATATATATATATATATATATAATATGTAACATATTTAACATATAAAGCATTTATATCATATATATATATATATGTACATGCGTATGTTACGTATATATATATATATATATGCTCACCCCCCCCCCCCCCCATGACAGACCGTCGTGGGGAAGGGGAAGGGTGGCGTGCGTCCCCAGGCAGGATCTGTCAACGGAGAGGCGACAGACACTTCTCCCAAACTCAATTCCAAAATGTTCTTTTAGATGGTTTGCAATTTTTGGAAATTTCTTCACACGCATGCAGCGCTCCTAGTCCCAATCTTAATCTCAATTCTGCTCTTCGTACCACTATTACTGTTTGTAGATCTTAATTCTTGTATCAGTGTTAGCATTAGTATTAGTTTTGTGGTAGTATTGATATTAGGATGTTTAGTATGAGTAATAGTATTCGAATTAGTATTACTCTTAGTATTAGCATTAAGTATGTGTATTGATGTTAATAGTAGTAGTCGTCGTACTAGCAATAGTTGTCGCACAGCAGTAGTAGTGGTAGCATTAGTATTGGTATTTGTATTAGTATTAGAATGAGTATTAGTATTAGTATTAGTGACTAGTATGAGTATCAGTATTAGTTTTAGTATTAAGTATGTGTACTAGTAGTAGTAGTAGTAGTAGTAGTAGTAGTAGTAGTAGTAGTAGTCGTAGTAGTAGCAGTAGTAGTAGCAGCAGTAGTGGTGACATTAGTATTGGTATGAGTATGAGTATTAGAATTAGTAGCTAGTATTAGTACTAGTATTAGTGTTAGGATTAATATGTATTGTTCTTGGTTCTATTCTTAGTACTGCTGTCATTGTTTGTAGTAGTCCTAATCCTGGTATCAGTGTTCATATGAGTAATAGTTTTGTGGTAGTATTGATATTAGGATGGGTATTGCTTTAGTACTAGTATTGGTATTGGTATTTAGTATTAGTATTAGCATCAGTATTAGTATTAGTATTGAATAAAAGTATACATATCAATAATAGTAAATATGAACTCGTGATTATGTTCGTGCTGGTGTTAGTGCCAGTGTCGATGTCAATGTCAGTAATAGTACTCGTGTTAGTATTAGTATCAGTCTGAATGCTGGTTTTAGTATCTGTTTATTATTCACAGAAGTGCTGGTATTAGTATCAGTAATAGAAATAGTTTTGATATGTGAATATACTGATTGATTCGTACATTTTGAGCTTAATATAATAATACAGTAATGTATTCGAACAATAGTATATTTGCAGAGTTGAAGACTGAGCGAATACATTAGTACGTTGGTGCATGAGTACATTAGTATATTGGTGTATCATGATATTCGTATGTTAACGTAGTAGTATATCAGTATATTATTATAGTGGTCTATTACTACATTTACTATATTCGTATTTTCCCTAATAGCTTATAGGTATATCAATATGTTGGCATAATGGCATGTGAACATGTCAGTGTACTTGCCTTTTACAGTATTCGTATATTAGTACACTAGCATATTTAGTGATAATTAGTGTTGATGCCAGTGCCAATGTCGATGTCAGTTTTAATCAGTCTTAATGATGAATTTAACATCAGTGTAATATTCGCGGACGTGCTAGTATGCGTATCAATACTATAATTAGTTTTGATATATTAGTATACTGATAGATTATATAAACAGCTTAGTATACCAACACATTATAATGTATTCGAACAGTAATATGTTTGTATACCTGCATGTTTGTATGCTCTTAGTATATTAATGCATGCGTACGTTCGTGCATGAGTACATTAGTATATTGGTGTGCTATTATCTTGGATTATTAACATATTAGTGTATGAGTATCCTGGTATGCTACTTCATTTATCATATTCGTATATTATCTAACAACTTTTTTGGTATATCCATATGTTAGTATACCATTGCCATGTGTCAGTGTACTTGCATATTACAGTATTCGTGTCTTAGCAAGTTAGCATATCAATACAGTATAATCAGACGTTAACAAGTAGTATATTGTCACGTTGGAAACTGGGTATATGACAAATTAAATACGGATATACTACGTTAGTACACGAATGCATTGATAGATTTGCTTTTCAGATAGTGGTATGTATATCTGCGGACATTAATATACGCAGGTGTCTGTTAGTATTGGCATTAATATCAATATGAATATGACTATTGGTAGGCGTAGGAGTATTAATGTTAATAATAGAATTAGTAATGTGCATATTCGAAATGAAAGCATTAATATACATGTCAACGTTAGTGTTAAAAGCACTACACAGTAATCTTACTTGAGTCATATATAGAGCAGATTCCAGCATTTCCAAAATTTCCAAAATTTCCAAAATTCTCTCCCCTAACTTTCCGGATTTCCAAAATTTCCAAAATTTCCAAAATTTCCAAAATTTCCAAAATTTCCAAAATTTCCAAAAAGTCCGCCCTTATGTTTTGGAAAAATCCTGTCGACTAGGTCGGGAAATTTTGGAAATTTTGGAAATTTTGGAAATTTTGGAAATTTTGGAAATTTTGGAAATTTTGGAAATTTTGGAAATTTTGGAAATTTTGGAAATTTTGGAAATTTTGGAAATTTTGGAAATTTTGGAAATTTTGGAAATTTTGGAAATTTTGGAAATCTGGAAAGTTAGGGGAGAGAATTTTGGAAATTTTGGAAATGCTGGAATCTGCTCTATATATGACTCAAGTAAGATTACTGTGTAGTGCTTACTATGTAGTGTGTCAGCACAACCCTCATCCATACACGTGTGCTCTGTAATTCCTTTCTTGGTAGGACACCCGCGCGCCTTATCGTGCTGCTTTCTGGTCTCAGTCTTTTGGTGGTTCCAGGGATACGTTCGGAGGGCTCAAACTCGATACTCCGGAAAAAGCACGAACACGCCGGTGGGAGCGATGTTTTAAAGGGGATGGTCTGTCATGGGGGGGGGGTGACCATATATATATATATATATATATATATATATAGGTATTCTTGATTATATCCTATACTAGTATATTAAATAGTACACTTTGTAAGATAGTATTTAGTACACTAAGTCATACACTATATAGTGTGTTTTATCTGTATCAGGCACTGTATTTACACTTATGCTGCGCTTATGCTATGTAATGTGTTTCATAATGTGTTATTCTGTACATATTACATGTAATCGAACGTTTTCAATAGAATGTAGTGTATTTTAATGTGCTATTTCAAGAACATAATATACCAACCATTTATCTATTTATAAATATACCTACCAGTCTATCTATCCATCTACCTATCTATCTACCTGTCTATCTAACTGTCTATCTCTACATGTGTATATATATATATGCTCATATGCCGTGCATATACAGACTATATATGTGTGTATGTATATATAAATATAAATACAAACTTAAACACTCTCTCTTTCTTTATTTCTGTCTTTCCTTCCTTTCTTTCTGTCTTTCTTTCGTTCTGCATATATACATATACATATTTAGTTCAGGGTTTAGGGTTGTATATATATATATATATATATGTATATATATATACACATGTTTATGTCTATACAAAAAAAAGGAACATATGTAGACTGTAGCCGAACTCGAACTGAACTTCGAACCCGAAGCTCTAGCCCAGTGTTGGCCCTTGTTTTGTTGCTCAGCTATTCCTGATGCCGAACTAGGTTTGCATGTAATGTATCTGAGAGCTACAGGGAGTGTGAAGAGCTTACCTCCCCGAATCCCCTAAACTAAACTACCTAGGCTGAAGAGGTTTATGGAGTATAGAGAATTGGAGAGATTGGGTGAATAGTTTGGGTGAAGTCCCCAAGCTTAAACTTCGTAAACTCCGCGAGATAATCTCGACCCCTCGAACTGAATCTTCCCCCAAAGCCAAGGCACTTCGGCAGCAGCGTGTGCACTCAGCTCTTGAAGGTGGGCTTGTGGACATGTTACAAAAATGTTCTTTGGTACATCGGTCGGTTTAGGGTTTGGTTTAAGGTTTAGGGTTTAGGGTAATAGAGCCAGCTGTGAGAAGAGCAGTGGGTGGGACCCTATCCGAGCTACGAGCTTGGTGTGTGGGAGGTTGCTTGGGTGCGCACAGAAAGCTACCCAGCGTTTGAGGTTTAGGTTTAGAGTTTAGGGTCTAGGCTTTAGGATTTAGGGTTCAGTTTTTAGGTTTCGAGTTTAGGGTTTCAGGCCTTTAGGGCTACGGGTGCAGACCATGGCTCCCTGAAGTTCCAATGGTCGCAGACAGATCTGGTCGATGTCCAGACAAACATCGAGACAATGGGCAACTTGCCAGACCCAAAGACTCCAATATCCCTTACTTAAGGAAGATTCCTTAGATCATATTAGGGATCCTCAAAGAATTTAAGGAATCTTCCTGAATTTAGGGGATATTGGAGTCTCTGGGGACCTTCCCCACTTGTGTGTGGGTACCTTTTCATGTTGTGGGGCAGTTTATCTTCATGATTTAGGTCGGGGTTACTTTGTCGTGATGTGTCTTTTCCTTTCAGTGTTGCAGCTGGCCGCATTGCTTTCCTTGCAGTTCTGCAGATAAGAGACTTGCTAGAGGAATTGGAAGTTGTTGAGGGTTTAGGATTGATTGAGCCTGGCTATTTAGGGGTCATCACTTTTTTTGGTAAGGTGCCTCAGGGTCTCGACTATCAGAAATTGCAGCTCAAGGTCTTGCAATGTCTTGCATCAAGACTGTTTGGCAGGACAGGGGAATCGAACAACTAAGACCCGCGGCACCAAGCTTTCGGAGACCTTCTCCTTGTTCAGACATTTCAGTTTTTACAACGACCCCTGGTCCACAGACTCCCTTGTTCTTATGTCCTTTTGCATCTCCTTCCGTTCTCTTCTTTTTCTCCATTTAAATCAGCGCTTTTTCTCTTTTCATTTCTCCTTTCGGGACTCTCCTCTCTTAGCTGTAGCTTTCTCTTTATTACCGTTTTCGGGTTTAGGGTACTCATCCATTCCCTCCTTTTTTCCCTTTGCTTCTCAGGTCCAGGTGCCTTCACGGAAGCCGATGCTACCAACTTGGCTTCCAGGCCGACACTGAAACCCATCTTCAAGCTGGTGCCAGGACAAGAGGGGAAGGTATACTGTTGTACATCATGCGTATAAACAAATAATTAACTAACTGAATAAGTAGATGATTAAATATAGATGTATATACACACATATATGTAGATGTACATTGTGAAACACGCTGTCTTTCACAACGCGCAACTGTGTTTGCTTCGCGAGTCCGTGCCTCCACAGTCCCTAAGCAGCACTGCGTCGCGTGACCGACCGCATGCGTGCAACTCAAGAGCTACACTACCTGAAGTACAGCTGTGCGCAATTGGCACGCCTAGTACGAACAGTCACGGGTAAACAACAACTAAAACTTTATGCGGCCCAGGAGAAAAAGTCGCAAGTATTGAAAAGGTCGCAGCGCGCTTCCGAAAAGACCGCTTTCGCGCCGCAAGCAAGCCGCTTGATGTGTTCTACCTGGTTAGTAAGGCGCCGAATAAGTTTAAGGAGGTCTTTTCTGGAACAGCCCCAGCTGCCAGACCTAAAGGTGTTGATTTACCCGTAGCTCTAGAGTTGTCAGCTGCCAGAATATTCCAAGGCCGTTTAAGCAGGTTGAGTCGTGTCGCGTCGAAGCCCAACATGAAGGCAATGCCTGTAAGAAGAGGACTGGCCTCAGGAGACTGCGGATGTTTACATGTTGTGACATGCCGAAACTGTTGTGATGGTCGGGGGTCACAGCAGGAATGATGTGACATAGATGCCAAACAACGACATTACCCTGGACCGGGATGTTCATGAGTCTGCTGTCAGGTAGGGATTTCTGTCAGCGTAGTGAAAATTTTCGAGCCCAAGGCCTAAGAAGGAGAGCAAGATGAATTCTGGTTGGGACAAAGCTGCCAGGAACAAGCCCATTGCAATTCCTCAACACCGTGGCCCCGGACGCTGGGCCAAAAGAGAGAAGCGTATGTAAAATACATGCTAGTCGTAAACAGTCGACGCCTCCAGTCTTCTGGTTGGCTCTCACACTCTGTCAGGTGGTATTCCAGCTTATGATGACAGTATCGCAATCGCAAGAGGGAAAAGCGAAGATGTGGCAGAAACTCTGCGCGAGCCGAGCCGTTGCTTGGCGCTTCAGACGGCTTTGTTGGTTGAAGGATTTGTCAGGTTTTGATAGGTCTTCATTCAAAAGCTTTCGGTCTGCAGGCCTGGTATGGCATGCTCAAAGCAGTAGTACGTCGTGGCAGGAGCCCCTCATGCATCCGACATATTGCGGACTCTTTCTGCGGACACGATGATGCCATTCGAGCTCATAAGATGTGCAGTCAGTGCTTGTGTCTCTGCCTGTCCCCCTATACTGGGAAAATGTTTCAAATCCACAAATCACGCTTGCCATCAAGCTTGCCATGCTCATGACATGAATACGACGTCAGAGCGACATGAATACCACGTCCAGATCAGCTCACCGCCCAAGCCTAAATCTCGTGTGTTTCACCACACAGGTCTATGTCGACTGCACGTACGACTGCATGTAATGACTACATGTAATCTAGGTCCAGTTTTGAGACTCAATTCGAGAGCTTCCTCAAGCCGATGCAGGCAATGCTCAACATGTTTTCTGGTGCGCTGTACGGGAACGCACAGCCGAATTGCGTCCATTGGATCTTCCTGGCCTGCTGGATGCGATTGATATGATTTTCGATATGAGCGTTTAGTGGCTGTGAAAAGAGCTTCTTGAGTTTTTGGGGAGTCTGGGGGCTACTAATGCTGGGGCTTGGGATGCTGGCGGAGGACCCTTCAGGACGATTCTGGATCCTACCATATCGGAAGTCTGAGGTCTCCTGCAAGGATGATGGCTATCTGGTGTGGAGCAACGGCTACCGCACGACCATCGCGAGCTGCTGCATTATTTGGGATTGGTTTCGAAAGAATTCCAGGTTGAACACTCCTGGCACATGACAATGACAAGCATGGATCACAAGCCACAGCAACCTCCTGGTGGTGTATCGTACTGTGCAGCAGCCAAGGCCAAAGATGTGTTGGAGGCATCCACGTGCGGCGGGGTGGTGCTGCCATAGGAGACCCTCGAGTTCCCTGTCCTGCACGCGTGTTGGCAAGAGCAGATGCTGAAAGATTGCTTAACAACCTTATCTTTGAGATTTCGAAGGCCACTTCATGGCTCTAATGCCGGCACTGGAGGCACTTGCCCTCGCACAGAACCTTCCTTGAAAGATCACGCCCAAATCCAAAAGCCATTCTTTTTGCAGAATTCTCTTCTCAAAGGTTATGCATCGAGAGCAAGTATATGCCCGGCGGATTGCCAGAAGAAATTGCTGGTCATATCCGCTGAGTAGCATTCCCATTCCCCTAAACCCCACCTCATGATCCCTAGTTATCTTTCTACTTCCCTGGCTAGTTTACCAGAGTCTACCAGCAAAGCATGGCCTATATGGCCTGAATTCGCAGGTGCACCTTAAATACCGGTGTACCTTACAGCAGCCTTCCAGCCTGCACTTGAATTTGAACTCAGCGTTGGCCTCCACCATATCCTTGGCTTGGCACGTTTCTGCAAACGTTTCTGGGTTACACGTGCATGGCGGTCGGTGTCTTTGCCTTCACTAAAGGACTAAAGGCCTTCAACTTGTGCTCTTTCACAATCACATGTTCGTTCGACCTGCCAGTTCCCCAACCTAAGCCGCAACATGCTGGACTGAGGTTCTCTAGTTGGGCCAAGTTTGGGGTTCCTAGCCATTGGTTGGAGGAGGCTGATGAGTATAAGTGTCAGGTTTTCTGGTCCACCTGCAGGGCTAGGATCTGCAGGCAAAGAAGACTGGTAACCTGAAGCTCGGAGCAAAGACGAAAGAGAGCTGCTTCGGTTTCATGGCACTCAAACCCCAACTATTGCACAGTATGATGCCTTGTAGGATGTAGGATGCAGGGGTCAGGTGCAATGCCACTGCACCTTTCTCCGCCGCTTTGGGTCCAACCTGTAGCTCGAGGCCACATCCCAAGATCCTTAAAGCCCGAAAAGCCCTGAACCCTAAACCACCTCAAACAGGTCGTAAAAGAGGCGCTTAAAAAAACACCTCAACCGCCTCAGGTGTGGCAGCAGCTGACTGGAATCCGAAATCTCAGCCCACAATCCTCAGCATCGAAGCGTGCAAGCCCTGGGGCAAGTAAGCGTGTAAACCTCAAACCCGCAGTGTTTGTTGGGCACATGGGCAGTGGCGCGAGCCGCAGGGCCAGTGGTGCAGATTCGGCTGAGTCAAAACCAGGGCCGCCACAGGTTGCAGAGGAGCTCGGAAGCGGTTGCGTCATCCACGAAGTCGCGGACAGGGCCATCACAGTTCAGCAGTTACAGGATCTTACAGGTTGCATCGCGACCAAGTTGAAAGAAGAAGGATGGACAACCACAGATCCGTCAGTCGCAAAGCCAGTCAAATTGAAGAAGGGAACTGTGAACCTGTACGATGTCGTGGCTAGATTGGTGAAGCCTGCAACAGAGCAACGGCGCTGCTCGTATGTGGAGTTGGTCGCTACAGGGCCTCAGACAACCCGATGGTTTGTTTCTCATTGGTGGGGCGAGCCCGTCTTTCATTTTGTGGCTTGCGTGGTGAAGCACAGCGAGCAAAGACGCCTCGGGCATGCATCAACTTACTGGGTTTGTGCGTATGCAAATAATCAATGGGAGTTGGCTTATGATGTAGCAGCGAATCCAGCGGAGTCGTCTTTTCGACGTGCCCTTGATGTTGCCGAAGGCACCTTGTCAATATTAGATGATGCAGCCAGGGCCTACGAGAGGGTGTGGTGCGAGTACGAGGTTTTCGTGACTCTTGAGAAGGCAAAAACGACAGCACATCTGTTTGATATTTACACGTATCACAAGCATCAACCGCGGGGTATCACGGACGGCATTACAGAAGGAGACCGTCGGGGAGCAAGTTGGTGGTGGGAAGACCGGAAGTGGTCCCGAGAGAAGAACTTTCCGGTAGAGTTGGCTGAAGCAGCAATGCAGGCACAGGTGCAGCTGGCAATAGCGAGTGTGGACGCGGACCGCATCCATATTCTCAACTCCATCGTTGGTGCAGACGACTTAAATGCCGCTCCACCACTGGAGCACGAACGGTACGATGTCGTCAACACCACGCTGCATGCCCGGTTTGCTCTAGCAGCGCTGAAGCTCATGGTAGAAGCCAGGCGGTCGCTGCGCAGATATGTTCAGGTGATTTCTAACTCGCAGGTCACCCGCATCAACTTGTCCTTCAGGCCACTTTCTGGTTTCTCTCAAGACTGTATCAGCCCTAAGCCTGAACAACCCTTAACCCTGAACCCTAACACTCTAATCCGATCTTCAAACCTCGACAAACCCGTACAGGTCCGACCAAGTCCTCTCTGATGAGACGCTGCAGCAGCTAGCCGCAGCACTTCCCGCGACTTTAAAAGACCTGTGCCTGAATCTGGGCTCTTGTTCAGTGAAGCATGTCATTTCCTGAGCCCTTGTTAAGGACCGCAACAATCACTGGAGCTTGTACGGGATACGGTGGTGCACGGTGGTGCTGTAGTTGGTTCTTGTTCAAGAGCTATCTTGGGAAACGAGAACCCAGGAATATGGTGGACTGCACACTCTTGACAGATCAGGGCATCCAGGTGGACACTTGGGGTTCGGGGTTCTGAGGCTTCAGAATATCTACGTAGGGGTCCTCATGATAAGGATCGTGAGGGTTCTATATTAGGGTCCCCTATTTGTGTTGTTCTTAGAAACTCGCATCTGTTGCAAGACCTTCACTTTGTTTGGTGTCTGTGCCCTCAACCCCGGACCTTATCAGACCTTGAGCTCTAGACCCCTCGAGGCCCTTGAACCTGAGTTTTAGTGGTTTTAGGGTTAGGGACTCCCAAATCCGAATCCCACATTTTTGCCCTGGCTGTAGGCCTTGGCGCTTGCCCTGCAGCCACTTCCGCTGGAGAACTTGCACCTGGACGTTGCGAAGAATGCCCTTTCAGACGAAGCCGTGCAGGTCCGGGCAGCTTCGCAGTTGTCCCAAGCAGGAAGTCAAGGAAGTCAAATACCAAACATAGTTTAATATGGTGTATCACAGCATAACCTTGCACATTGTGCGATATTGTGGTGTATGGTAGTATATGCGAGTTACTATAGAGCACATCCGAGTCGCTCATGTTCTGGTATGACCGAGAGGCAGTGGCGGCCTCCTTCGGAGAATCGTTGCAGCACCTCTGGTTCAGTGTAGGCAGGGACACTCTTGCAGGGTTTAGGGGTTTAGGGGTCTAGGGTTTTCGGTTTGGGGGTTAAAGCGGTTCAGATGTGCAGGGGTTCTGGGGTTTAGGCTTTAAGAGGTCAGCCCCCTGACATTCCCTAGCTGATGCTTGCCAGGACATATTACCGACATCAGCGATGTTTCTGGTGAAAGCCTGGCAACTGTGCTACCAGCACGCCTGGAAAGCATGTTCCTGTCTTTCGCTGGATGCCGAAAGAGCCTCAGCTTGTTGCGGGGGCAGGTGCGAAACCGACCACAGGTGAGGTCCGTGTCATGTCTGCGGCTGCCCTTTGGGAGGCAAAAAGCATAGAAGGACCACAGTGTTGTTAACCCTTAGCCCGATCTCAGAAGCATTTCACGAAACGTGCGTTGAGCAATCAAGGATCACTGGCAAGCTCCTTGGCGTGAATGTCACTCCCACTCCTTCGGAAACTGCATAGATCAGAACCAAGAAACCTAGCTTTCGTTTCAAGACGCTCTCTTGTTCTTCATCTCCGCCCTGATGGCTTGAAGGACGCTGGAAAGTCTGGGCAGATCCTTTCCTCTGAAATTGTCGCATCTTGAGCTCATGTTCGGTAGCTGCCACCTTCTGGACAATGCTGCGGTACAAGCCCTGCTCGCCCAACTGCCTGAGGCCACCTTCTGTAGGACCAGGCCTAAACTCTGAAGCTTGAATCCTAGTTCTCTGAACCTCCAAAGAAGCTCCCACATTGTCCTACACCCTAAATCCGACAATGTGAACTCTAGAACCCGTGACCCTGAGCCCGAAGCTTTGGAAGAGATCGCCTCGCCCGTCCTTTTCGACCCCCAAGCCCTAAAGCCTAGCCCCAAAAATCCCAAAGATCCCTTCTCGGAGATCCCTTTCCAAGCCCTTACATAGCCCTCAGCACTTGTGCTGTGCTTGATGATATAAACCCTGCATTACTCACGATAGCTCCCATAGCCTAGGGTCATCAAAGTAATGCAGGATTTATATCATCAAACCTGAAACCTGAACCCTAAACCCCGAAACCCCAAACCCGAAACCCTAAACCCGGAACCCTTACGCTTTGATTTATGTCATCAAGCGTAGTAAGCCCCTGAACCATGAGCAGGGCCTGCTTGAGCTGCGGCTGGACTTCTGGGGATGCCCGCAGCTCACGGAGGAAGGTTTTGGAAACCCTAAACCCTAAGCTTAATAGCTAATATAGAAGCCTAATAATTGCCAATATTATTCCTGAGGGTTCCTTGTTATAACTAGAAAATAAAGGAGCCCAAACCCCCGTTCTACGTTAAACCCCCAACCCTAAACCGAATGTCAGATTGTGTGAAGAGCATCCTACTCTACCGTGCCATACCACATCTTGCCGTACCCTACCTTACCTTACCAGACTACCTTGCAAAACACTCTACTCCCATGTATTCGAGTGTGCAGCACTAAATTCCTGATGTACTGTGCTACAGTAAATGCTTTGGTAAACTCTCCCTCTCTCTCTCTCTCTCTCAAAAAAATTACATGCATATCTATATATATATATATATATATATACATACATGTGTGTGTGTGTGAATGTACAGATACAGATACATACATAGATACAGACATAGGTATAGAGGTAGCTATAGATATAGCTAGAGACAGGTATAGATATAGATCTAGTGATATAGACGCAATAGATACATACAGATAGGTAGATACATACATAGACAGATAGACAGATCGACAGATCCCCAAAGCCTAAGCCTTAAACCCCAAACCCTAAGCCCTATGAATAAAAGCGCCCTAAACCCTAATCCCTAAACGGACGGTGGGCTGGCACAGGCCG